CAATTTTTCACAGCGGTGATCATTATATGTTATGAGGCCTTCTTGGTTAGCATACTCCTCATCAGTGCACCTTGTTGTCGTCTTGAATGTTTAAAACGCATTGCTTTTCTCCACTCACATCTGAACCTATCTTTTTTCACTAATGCGGAAATGTTATTTTGAAATAAAAATGAGATCAGTTTTTTTTTTCTGAATCGCTATACTGAATTTTTTGTGTTTTTGAGCAGTTCAATTTTTTCTATGCTCTTTGGAAATACCAAATTATATCAGCTAATCTTGTTAAATATAGTTTTTTGCTGATATTATTCTCTGATTGTTTGGATCTGAAATTTAAGTCTATTTTTTGAAGAGCTGAGTATGCAGAGGGAAATGTTTCTGTTTTCTTACAAAAATTTTCCGATTCGAAAAACCATTAAAACTTTCTGGCGGATTTCAATCGATTGAGATAAAATTCGATCCCATGTACGGAAACTTTCTTGTATGCTCTTTTGAAAAACCAAATTGTATCTTCACTTTTGTTAAACGGGTCTTGTTTTAGGAGACTAAAAATTCGATGAAAAAATTTAGATTTATTCTTCAAAAATGTTAATCCAATTTTTTCAACCGCCAAGTTTAATATATGTAGGAAATAATCCAATTATTCAGGACAATTTTTTTTCCTGAGTAGATTCCTGACTTACCTTGCCGCGAATTTGACAATCAAGTATATTTAAAATTAAAGTTTATCAATTTTACGCAATTAACATGTTCTTACCCATTTTTTTTGGCATGATTAAGGTGAAAGCGCTTGATGTCTGACAAACAAACCTTAGTCATGCAACTGAAGTATTTAATGGCTGAGCTTTCATTGTTCAAACATCAAACGAAATCATTCAGGCTGCAATTGAACCTTGTGTTTAAATTGTAGTAATTTTTAAAAGCGTTTTAGGAGACATTATCCTGAATTCGAGACAAATTATCCCTGTGAGAAATGATTGCGAAAAACTTTTTGTAGGAGAAAGGATCCTTTGTCATGCGCGGAAAATTTTAATGTTTGCTTACTCCTCATCACTGCACCTTGTCGTTGTTTTCAATGTTCAAAACGCGTTGTTTTTTTTTCTATTCATTTTTGAAGCTAATTTTTAAGCTATTGAGGAAAGTAATATTTTGAAAAATTGAATTTTCAGTTTTGTATGTTTTTGAAAGCACTTTTTTAATTCCGAGTTTCTTGTGAATTATAACTTTTTACTGATAAAATTCTATTATTGTGTTAATAAGATTTTTTCTTCTTCTTTTTCAATGAAAAGACAAATATGCATAGTGAAAGTCTTTTCTCATACGTAAATTTTACTATTCGAAAAAACATTCGAACTTATAAGAAATTTTTACTCGACGGAGATGGGGTACACACCCACGCATGGATTCCGTATTGGGGTAGCAGTGCAGCGTCTCAACCACTCGGCCACGTTTTCCTTCAGGATGTTCGCAGTAGAATAAAACTGTATATATCAAACCTTCAGATGTTTACAGTACGACTGAAAATTGCGGGTAATGGATGATTTCATAGTAAATATTTTTTCTACGAAAAATTATCCACAGCTGTGGTCATTACTTTTTCAGGGTCTTCTTATGGGAGACTTAAAATTACAAATTACATTTTGATTGATGCTCAAAATTTGCATCCAATTCTTTCAACTGCCAAGTGATTTAAATGTAGAAAAACTACAAATCTCCGCAAATTTTTTTTGCGTGCAGACCCTTGGCGTTAATTATCAATTATCGCGCGTTTGACATCTACAAAAATGCTTTGAAGTTTATTATCGGTCGCAATTATCATGTTTTTACACAGCTTTTTTTTTGGCCTTTTTAAGAAGAAAGTGGTCGATATCTGATAAACAACCCTGTGTTATGCTGTTGTTGAAACATTTTGTATTTGAGCTTTATTTGCTTAAGCTTTCAAAACAACTCATTCATGCTTCATTTGAACCTTGTGTACGAATTGTAGGAATTTTTTGTTGCATCTTGTACGAGAAAATATCCTGAATACAAGATAAGATCCTTTTGTGAGCAATGATTTTAAAGAACGCTTTTGTCAAGTGCATAACCTTCGTCCGCGCACTCTGTCGCCTCTTTGAGGGTTTAAAACTCATTTCATATTTTCAATTTGTTATTTCTTCTACTTTTTGTTCACTATCGCGCAAAACTGCATTTCAAAATAAAAATGAGGTCCAAAACTTTTCTAAGGGACGATCACTGAAAATGTTGTGTTTTTGAGCTTCTCAATTTGTTGTATGTTTTTTGAAAACGCTAAATTGTTCAAAATCGTTAAACCATTGAGCAAATTTTACTTGTCAGAGTTTTTTTTTGAAACCACGCTTGCACGACCCCACGCACTTACCTTACAGGATGAGCAGTCCAGCGCCTTAACCACTCGATCATCCTGTCCTTTAGGTGAAGAGCAGTAAAGTTAAGTTCAATGTATGAAATATCCAAATGTTTAAACTTCGATTGAAATTTGCAGATACCGGGTTAACTCAGAGTAAATTTTTGTCAGCAAAAAAATGCAGCTATGGTCTTTAATCGTTTCACTGTCTTATTTTGAAAGATTATAAATTACAGGGAACTGTTTTTTGATTGTTGCTCGAAACTTTTATCCTGTTTTTTCAAGTGCCAAATTTGTTAAGTTTTGTAAAAATACTTTTCACTACGTGTTTTTCTAGCGTGCAGACCTCTGAGGTACATTGAAGAGCAATTGACTGTTAAGTAATGTACGTTTCAAACTAAATCAATCCGCCGCAACCATCATGTTTTTTATTCTGCTTTTCTGGCTTTGTAAAGCGTTTGATTTCTTTTATGCAACCCTTGATGATGCGGTTGGTGAAGTATTCCGTATTTTAGCTTTATGGGTTTCAACATCGAATCAAGACATTCATGCTGCATTTGAACCCTTTGTACAAAATTCAAGGAATTTTCACGATTTTGTTTAAGATATCATCCTAAATACGAGATACGAACCTTTTTGAAGATTTTTGTTTTCAATAATGTTTTTGTAGAAGATAGGATCTTTTGTCATGTTCGAAAACCAACAAAACTTGTGTGAAAACTTTTAGTCGAAAGATAAGGGGTTCGACCCCACGCAAGGAGGTTGTATTTGTTTAACAGTCCAACCAACGCTTTAACCACTCGGCAACCCTCTCCTTGAACTGGTTAGCAGAAACATTAAATTGGATATATCCTTGAACTGGTTAGCAGAAACATTAAAGTGTTTTAATATTGGCTGAAATTTGCGGGTATTGGGTTATCTCATATGAATGTTTTTTCAGCAAAATTTTTTCACAGTGTGGTTATTACATGCTTAAGGGTCTTTTTTTGGGCGACTGAAAGTTACAAGAAAAATAATTCTGATTTTTCCGGAAATTTTCAGCGTTTTTCAGCTGCTAATTTTAATATATGTGGAAAAAATCCAGTTCTCTAGTGATTTTTTTTTCTTGTGAACCCTTGACTTGGTTTGCCGCGCGTTGCACAATTGAAAAAACTAGCAAGCGTTCGCTATCTTATAAACAGCCCTTGCTGAGGATGCTATTGGCGAAAACTTTTGTATTTGTTGAACTTGAATTGTTTAAACTTCAAATCAACTCACTCATCCTGCATTTGAACCTCATGTATTAATTGCTTGGAATTTTTTGAATAATTTTATTGGAGACATTATCCTGAAGACGAAATAGGATCTTTTTTTAAAAAAAAATGCTTTCGAAGAATTTTTTGCAGACGATAGTATCCTTTGTTGTGTTCGGAAAACTTCATTTTTTGCATACCCCTCATCCACGCACCCTGTCGTCTTTTTGAATTTTAAAATCCCATTGCTTTTCTATTGGTCCTGATTCTAATTAACTTCAATATTGCCGAAAACGTTTCAATGAAATAAAACTGGGACCGAAAATTTTAAGGTGCGTTCTTCTGAAAAGGTTGTGTTTTTGAGCTTCGCAGTTTTTTGTGTGCTTTATTAAAAAGCTAAATTGTCTCCGAGCAGAGATGAGATTGGAAATTCGAATCCTCGCTTAGAGACAGTGGTGGTTTAGCAGTCCACGGCCGTAGCCACGCGGCCACCTTGTCCTTGACGAGAGTTCCACATTTGTTCTCTTTGGTCGCCAGTTTTTGCCTTAAAGTTTTGACGACAATAGCTGAAATCCGGGCACTCAGACAAAGATCGGTTTAGAATAATAGCCCAAAGTTTTAACCGCTGGGCCACCGTTCACTTGGTTCTTTTCCCACCACAATTATTCTAGGTCCTGTTTTGTTTACAAAAAAGGACATAAATTTGCGAAAAAAAAGTTTTAAATTTTTTTTCATTAATGTGGTCGGAAGTTTCTGTGTTTCTAGCAACCGGCTATCCTTGTTTCGAGTCGCAAGTGTTTGATATCTGATCTACAAGATTAGTAAAATTCAAATAAAAATAGTTTATCTTTTAGTTTTAATTATTCTAAGATCTGCACCTCTGAGATGATCTGCTTATCTAAGATCTGTCCAGAGATGTCAGTTCCGAGACGTTTAGAATAATCTGAGACAGTTCAACGGAGTCAGTTTACCCAAAAGCTCTGTCCCAACAGCTTCTGCTTCAGTTGTGATAGTTTTAGCCTTGTTGCTGGTGTTTTGTTGAGCTTGAAGTTATTTCAGGCATGGGAACAAGAAATATCATTCACTCAATCTCAATCACTTATTTATTTTCTCAATTTCAAAAAGGGTTAGTTAACACAAATAAATAGGAACTGACTTGGTCGATCGATAAACACAAACTTATTTTTCTTATATTTCTAACTGCCTTCAATAATTTTGGAGATTAACTTAGATTCACGTGTTTCCCAATTTTTCTCGGGTATTTTTGGATACTGCGTTTTTTCAGACCAAATCAGTTTTGTTAAGGATTTCGGCAAACTATAATGATTGGCTACTAAATATTTATCAAGGAGTTTTATAAAATGTGTTTCATTTCTCTATCCTTTTCCTCTACACTTGTCTAGTACTTGTGGCTCTCAGCTCCTCCATGTCCGAATCCTCCTGGTCCAAACATAGCCGAATAACAGGGCTGATGACAGTATGGCTTCCCTAGGCAGAAAATATTTTTTCAGCAGGAGGATTTGAGACAAATCAGCCAAACAATCATGCATAAACTCCTCTGTTCAGTGATTTTTCCAAGCAATATCGATGAATTTTTTTTGACATAAACTTTAAACACTTTTAGTATATAGCTACTGCTGTTACTTAAAACTTTGTTAATAATGGCGGGTTGAAAATGGAATTGATATATTGTTGGTCTGACTAGTTTTTTAATACGACCACATCGACAGTGTTCTAGTTAAAAATCTTTACTTAACTGTTTTCTTAGTCTTAGCAACAATAGTTTAGCAGGCAATTTTTCTCCCCAAATAGATTGTTTGAATTCTCGATGTTGGGGGAAAGTGGGGGAGGGGGGGTCTTCAAACATATGAGAAAATTGAAGAAAAATTAAGAACCTCTGTAGGAAATCTTACCGTCGTGTTCGGCGTGCTTTCCACTAGTCACTGTCTTCTTGCATTTCTCACACTTGAGACAGGGTCGGTGCCAATCCTTCCCCAGTGACGTCACCTTTTCTGCGAAGTACACTTCCTTATTGCAACTGGGACATTTAGGCATCTTGTAGAGTCAGGTCTAAGCGTGAAAACAATATAGTGGTTTCTATTCGCAACAAATTTGAAGGAGACGCAAACGTTTTCAAAACGAAGGAATAAATGTTTTAATTTACTATGGAAAATGGCATACTTAAAAACGTCTGAAACCATGATATATTTATTACTGCTGTAAAAACGCTTTTATTTTTTTACCAATTTGTTGTTTTTTTTTTCACCTAACTGAATCAATTTTCTGATGATAAATTTACTCAAATGAAGCCACTGAAACGAAGTTTTTTATAGCAGCTTTTTTACGTCCGCACGTTGTTTCTAGCAATTTTGCAATGACCTGTGTAGATTGTCGTTCGAGTATTAAAAATTGTTATGCGAACATTGTTTATCGACCACAGGAAAAAGATGTATTTCCTCAAATTTAAATTTAAATTGGCGGTGAATGCAATTTTCTTGCGTTATTGAAAGGTGACATATTTAAACTTGAGAAAAAAAGCTTTTTTTTTCAATAAAAAACATTCTTTAAAGGGCAGTCGGAAAATTCCGGGCTCCGATCTGATAAGAGCAGCTTTGTTGACGATTTTTTTCAGACGATTTCAAGTGAAAATTGATTTTTCTAATCGCGGGCTGCTTTTATGATGGAAGGACCGTAAGATGAAAATTGTCCAATTAATCATAATATGCCCAATGTGATTTGTAAAAGAATCCCTGTGGCATTTCGATATGCTCGTTTCTCAGATATGGCAAGCTCGCAACACTTATCAGTCAGACAGCCTGATCTAATGGCTTTGTGTTTGGCCAATACACAATTTCACAATTTATTGCCCTGAATCTAAAAAGTTTTCTTGAGATTTTCGCATTTTCTTTAAGACTTTTGAATATTCAATTGTGATTGTCTGATATTACCATTTTCTATCTCTAACATGAGAACTTCGCCTTTCCTCGTCTAGTAACGCGTTGTTTGAATCAATCAGCTTGCTTCAATTCAATTAGAAGTAATGTTTCAGCTATATTAAATTGCCGCTTACGCTACGCATTATTAGAAAACTGTTAAACATCGTGCTTAAACCTTTGTATAAATGGTACTTTTTACAACCCTGAAACCTTTGTGAAAAGTGAATTCCTGTACAGAAAAAAAGCTAGAACTACAAAAACTTGGACTTCTTTTTACAAAATTTGCTGAAATTTGCCGCAAAGCATAAAACATTTACTGCAAAGTAGAAAACATGTATTAAATTTTTGATCGAAAAACGTTTATATGCCCATTTTCTTAAAAAAGAAATTCAAAAGAAATTCAAAAAAGAAAATTCCATTTTTCCCTCAGACAATGTCAAGTAAAAATTGATTTTACTAATCGCGGGCTGCTTTTATGATGGAAGGACGGTAAGATGAAAATTGTCCAACTAATCATAATATGCCCAATGTGATTTGTAGAAGAATCCCTTTGGCATTTCGATGGGCTCGTTTTTCGGATCTGGCAAGCTCGCAAAACTTATCAGTCAGACAGCCTGATCTAATGGCTTTGCGTTTGGCCAATACAAAATTTGATGCCCTGAATCTAAAAAGTTTTCTTGAGATTTTCGCATTTTCTTTCAGACTTTTGAATATTCAATTGTGATTGTCTGATATTACCTTTTTCTATCTCTAACATGAGAACTTCGCTTTTTCTTTTCTAGTAACGCGTTGTTTGAATCAATCAGCTTGCTTCTGTTCAATTAGGAGTGATTTTTCAGCTATAATAAATTGTCACTTACGCTACGCATTATTAGAAAACTGTTAAACATCGTGCTTAACCTTATGTATAAATGGTACTTTTTACAAACCTAATACATTTGTGAAAAGTGAATTCCTGTACACAAAAAAGCTAGAATCAATAAAGTTTGGATTTTTCTACAAATTTCGCTGAAATTTGCCGCAAAGCATAAAATATGTACTGCAAAGTAGAAAACATGAATTGAATTTTTGATCGAAAAACGTTTATTTTTCCCCATACAGGTTTTGGCTGAGCGGTCCTTTTTGACTCATTTTCTCCTAAGACGTTCCCCGTTGAAAACCGACGCCCAATTTTGATCCCAAAAGTCTTGGTCATGAAGGTTTTGAGCTAAAATTTCAAGATTCATTTTCTTTCATCATTTTTGAGAGCTAGTATCATCCAGTGATGTCCATTGAAATTTTTTTAGTCAATAAAAAAACATTTATTTTTGATTACAATCCAAAATTTTTGCGACAATTTAAAATTTCCTCAGCCAATAATAAGCTTAGACAAGCCTTATAGCTTTTCATAGATCTTCTGCGAATTGCAGAACCCACAATTGTTCTTAATTAAAACTTTTCCTCTTTTTTTGAGAACCATCAGCTAGTGTTTCAATATTTCGAAATCACCTTTTCAACCAATTGTGTGGGTCACATCGCAAGCTCAAAAATCAGAATGCTTGATAAATAAAGTGAGCATCAGTTAACGAGCAGATTCAATGATTTTTCGATACTTTAAATTTTTCGGAGCTTCAAATTGGTTTCGTTTTCTTCTGCATGTTGTGATAAAACATCTGCTGCGTGTTGTGATAAAACAAAAAAAACTTAGGTTTATTTGAGAGTCATAGTAAAAGAAATCAATTGAAAAACAGTTTTTGAAGAAAAATGATTTCAAAAACGAAAAAAAAATTAAAAATTTCCAAATTTTTTTCCCAAATTTATGCAGAGTTTTTTTTTTAATTTTTCAAGTTATTGATTCTCAAAATTGCTTCATAAAACTATCTTTATTTAAGTACATCTAAACTTTTATGGCTTAAATCAGCTATGATAAATGTACACGATCACCTTATTAGCTCTAAAATAGACCAAAAATCGAAAATTTCGAAGCCGTTTTTCTCTACACTGTGAAAAAGTTTTCAAATCTTGTAAATGTCGTTCGAATCACGACTGAAAGGGCTTTATTATGATATATCACTCGACTAAACCCGACAGTTTTTTGTGGTACCTAATTTTGTGTGGGAAACAAAAAGAAAAAAACTAAAACCCACCCGAATAGAAAGTTCCTCCCCATTTTCAATGGTCGGAACAAAAATATTTTCAATGTATAGATTCCAGTCAAGGCTGCTGCCCTATCATGGCAAAGCCTTGATTAATCCTCCTGCCCTTTTACTGCTCACGAGTAGTTTTACTGTAAAATTTTGAAATTTTTTAATTCCTGGAGTCGCAATATGAAATATAAACCGCTAAATTACTTTTAGGGTCGAATTAATATGCCCAATTAGTTTTCCTCAATTCATTTTGGAATAAAAAATTGTCTAAATAAAAAACAACCCCAATCATATACATTTATTTTTTCCTTAGAAAGCCGGAAGAATACATTGAAATTTAAATATATTTTAACTGTATATTCATCCTTATAATAGTGTTATCATCCATATAATCTTGCTGATCACGTAACCTTGTTAAACCATTAGTAATAGAGGCACCAGCGAGTTTAGGGAGGGGCTGGGGGTGTGATGGATAAGGTACTCTCCCTCTGATCTAGAAAATCCTAGATCCGCCCCTGAATGGAGGTATTTTCCAGAGAGAAAGAGAAATATTTATCTCAAAAATTACTCACCGAATGTCTGATTTTCGTGAAAATTGAGAAAAGAAATAGAGCAATTTCTTGTGCGAGTACGTTATATTTTTCAGGTTAACTTCGGAATGATAAATTGTACTTCTGGTTAGCTTTATACCTAGGAAGTGAATTATATTGTGACGTAAACATATGCCGTGAACTACAAACTGGGTGAAACTCCACAGGCGGTGCGCTAGCGACTACTAAGTTTGGGAAAATATAAAGCTTATATGGAAGGGAAAGCCGCCCAAATACGTCAATTCACTCCTTGTAACAATTGGAATCAGGAATTCGCATTCCTCGGTTTTTGTTTTTGTTTGAGATAGGAAAACAAACTGTGCTTTTCCCAAGAAGACTGAATTTGAAGCTGAAATTCAGATTTCAAGATATCTGAACCTCCTGATTGAAGTATATTGGAATTACTACGTAGTAGATTTATATCTTTATGGCCTAATGTCGTTTTATGGGGAGAATTGACGACTCATAGAGTAATAGAGCTCTTAGAAGAGTCACCTAGAATTTTAGTATCTTATAAAACCTCATGCGCATGAGAAATAAAGTATAAAAAAATTAGGCATTTCATTTTTTACGTAGTGGCTTTTCTTTGGTTTGATGTCAAAATTAAAAGAGTGAGATAACAAAAAAGAAGAAGTTTCGGAAAAAATCCACCCCAGGTTAATCAGTCAACCCAATTTTATGTTCCCTGTTTCCCAGTCCGAATCCATCGTCTCGCTCAGATAGTATTTTTGAGCCAGTCTTATCTCTTTGGATTTCGGTTGAATTTATTCACTCTTTTCGGTTGATAGAAGACAAATTGAATTTGAGACGCGCAAGGGTAAATTCGAACTCGGGTTGCGAACTTTTGGGTTGTGAGATTTGAACCCTTTATATAGATAGTTATTAGTTTTAAATTGGGTGTTACCACTCTCAATTTGCAGATTGTATATTGAAAGTTATGAAATGGTTCATTGAACGTTGAGTCTGAAGCAAATTTACCTGATATTTTGCTGCCGTACCAAGCTGGAATTTAGTTTTATTTATAAACGCTAAGATAAACTGCAATATTTTCAGTATTGCTATTTAAGAAAAGACATCAAATGAATCGATTAAGTTAAAAAACTGTAATCAACTCTGTTTTGCCTCGGCAAATTTTAAAAATCTGATGAAGTTAGCTTTTGTACCAGCGGCTAAAAGAAAAATGAAGAAAAAAATGAGGCATAACTTAGTGGTGTTTAACTTTTCACGCGGGCTTTTTTTTTTAGTTTTATGATAATGTCTATTGAAAAAACAACTGTCGTTCTCTTTTTCTGTAAGAGGTCTTTTTAAAACATTGAAACTTAGGTGATAATTGGTAGAACGATTTTTTCACTTTATTTTCCTAGTTGTACCCAACAGACGTAAATGTGTAAGGTATGTTTGTCTAACGCATAATCGTATAATACAATTCGCATTCTTATAAGGTCTTATCGTGTAAATAATGGTAACGTATGACAAAAACGTCTTTTACAAAAAAAGTTTCTACAGGAAGCTTATGGTTTAAAAAAAAAAACTTTTTGAGCAATTATAGCAGCCTACGGTTCTCATAAGTTTTTGTTGTCTTTCTGCCTGGCCGTTTTATTAAAAGATTCTGGATTCTTCAGAGGAATGAAAATAATATAGATTTTAAACCAAAAATGGAGATTGTATTAGCAAATTAAACAAAACGCTGGAGTCCCTTAAAATAGAGAAACCAAAAGCTTGAACATAAATTCCAGCTGATCAGAATTGAGTATTCATATTTGGAATTATCTCAATGAAACCGTGATAATTCCAAATTGAGCAAATAAATTCAGGCACTTAAAATTTATGAATTCCCAAAAGTTGTCTCATCTAAGACGCATAGGAAAAAACTCAATACTTAAAAATAAAATATATCATTTTTTTTTTTAAAAAAAGCAATAAAATAAGAAACCAAAAAGGTTATTTCATATCTGCTCGAATTGCACAGCGAAAGAAGGCTGCAACGTTAAATCTTTTTCATGCTAGTTTTGACCCCTATTTAGCAAATGGGAAGATCCAACGATTTTAATTGGTTGGTTATTATTCATCATTCGGTCCCTACGTACCCCCCTGTGATTCAGTCAAAAAGTGCTATTAATTTTTTTTTTAATTTGACCGAAAAAACCCAGCAATTGTCAATTTTTTAAATGTTAAGGAATCAGGGTTCGCATTCTATGTCTAATTGATTTCAATAAGAGTCAATTGCTCGGATCACAAAATTTACAAAAACTTTGAAAAATATAATTATTTTTAAAATTTTCAAAATGTTACTTTATATTTTTTGATCTTTCACTTCGGAACGTTACTTTATATTTTTCGATCTTATACTTCTTTTTTCTTTTTCGTCATATCTCTGACTTTTCTTTTAAATAGTTTAAAAATGACACCACAGTTGATCTCTAACGAGCAATGTTCTCGAGGCATCTAGTACTTCTCGGCAAAAACACGCTAGACGGAACAGGAGTTTTTTATGAAATCATTATGACAGAAAGCTAGGTGGAGCCGTTATTTGCTCCGGACATGTTCAAAACTAGATTAAAATTGCTCGTATCAGGGCAACGCAATGACTGTTCCGACTGCGTTTTAAGGTCTATAGAGTAGTGTTTGCTTGAAACATTGATGAACTTTTCAAAAAAAAAATTGTAATTATTTTGAGGTTTTTAAAAATCATCCCACTCACGCCATATACAGTACAAAATGATAAATTTGGTTCCTATTATTATAGCCATTATGACAATAAGTCTGCTTCAATCAATTATGAATGATTTCTAAGAGGGATTAAATCTCCGCTAACGCGTTAATGGCACGGAATATATCGCGTGTTAATTGTCCCAAATTGGCAATCTTCAAACCGCTGTAACTTCACGAAAAATGATTACAGGTGGAATATTTATTTTAAATGGAGTTCAGGACAACAATACTTTCTTACTGATAACAAAAAGTTTGTCAAAAATTGCTAGTTGAAAAATTCGAAAACTGTCTGGAACAAAAAACCACGCCGAGCGCAAATGTTCTGTCATTTTCTTCGAAAAAAAGTCATAACAAGAAAACTGCTCTGAATATTCCGTCTGCACATTGAGGCTAAGTAAGATAGTTTTGGTTTGAATGATGGATGAAGTTTTTTCTTCATTTCGTCCCCCACACGCAATTTATCCCCCGTAGGTAAATTACAAGGGGCGCACTTAGCGTCTCATTTTAAGACGATTAAACCGCTGGCCTTATTTCCGCTTAAAGCTAATTAATTTGCCGCTTACGCGTAATATAAGAACGCCATAAATCGCTCGTTAATTATCCCAAATTGGCCAAATTTGCAATTTTCAAACCCCCTAATTGTACGAAATATCACGAGTAACACAAGTGAAGTATCCTTTTAAATTTGAGCTTAGGACACTAATATCTTTCAGATTATATAAAGAAATTTGGTCATAAACGCTTACTTATAGATATAAATTTGGCTCAATATAAAAAATCTGGGCCACACAAGCGTAATTATTCCATTTTGGGCTAAGTTGGATTAAAAGAGGAGATCTCGCTTTTCAACAAAAGCAGTGTATCATACAATTATAATAATCATTTAATTTCTGTCTGAATTCTATATTAACTCGCCGTGTAGAAAAATGGTACTGTATAACAAATTGTTTTTGGTTTAAAAGTTGATGGCAACCTTGTTCTTCAAAATTTTTTGTGTCTGGCTTCCTGGCGGTCTTATGAAACTCTTTCAGTTTCGTGAAAGAAAGATGATTTTTTAAAATTCAAATCAAACATGGAGTTTGTGTGATCAATTTTGTTTTGAAAATAGCTGATATTGATACAAGGCTTCGGACGGATAGACTGCCCATCGAGGTATCTGAAGCATTTTCTGGTACAAAAAAAAATGCCTCAATTCCGTTGAGCAAGATATTGCCTCAATTCCGAAAGATATTGAACAAGATATTGAATAATATTGCCAGTATTGAACATTAACTTTTTTCAATTAAAATCAATATAATGAACAATATTTGCTAAGTTTGAAATTTTTGAGACCCGATAAATGAACAACAAAGAGTTGCATGAAACTCAGCTCAAATTTTAAGCTCAGAGCGTCAATATTTTCACCCTATTGAAGATATCAACTCCCTGAAATCAAATATAAAAGCTATTTGAATTCGGATCGTTTTTTCAAAAGTTATGGGAGTTTGAAAACTGTCAATTTGGCCATGCTCTGGACTAACTTATGCGCTCTTTGAAGATTTTATTCACTTTTCCTCGCCGTTTATATTCTGAAAAGCAAGTATCGCAGACTATTTTTCTCATTTTCGGAAAAAAGTTCAACTTGTTTTTTGAACCCAAAATACGACTTAAAAAGTTTTAAATGATATAATATCTAATAACACCAGTTCGTCTACGCTTTGAGTTTTTTGTGTTGTAAGCAGGCTCGGATCTAGGATTTTCTCGACGGGGCCGATTTTAAAAAAAAATCGGAAATTTTGTCAATTTTTTTTTAGGTCCACCAAATTGATTTGCTGAGCTCTCCCCAATAACTTTCACGACCCCGTCTTGACCAAATTTTCTGCGCCGCAAGCAAATTTCTGAAAAAAGTGGCTGAAAAGAGCGTTTTAAGGCACTTTTTAGAAAACTTTCACCGAAAAAAATAGCGTTTTTTCGGCGCGCGCTCGCCCCTCAAAGTTACTAAAATTTGGCGCCGAAGACGACCTTGGAAATTTTTTAGGGTCATTCAGCCAAAAATGGATATCTCAAAACAGTACAAAGGGGGGACCCTTTGGGTCGGCAGGGGGTCGAATCCTCCTCCCCCCTAAATCCGCTGGTGGTTGTAAGTTATACGGAAAATTTTGGGAATTCACCGGAAACATAAAAGCATTTGTCATGAAGTTTTATTTCAGGGCTTTTTTCTAGTTGTTTATTATCAGAATAAATAGTTTTTTATTGCCTGACTGAACATTTCTCTTAAAATTGATTCCTTTGTCATGTTTTTGATGTACTTAATTGTCAGTTATCAACCTTTCCAGTATCTGACTGTCTGAATGGAGAAGACGAAATGGGTTGTGGGTCTTATGAGTGTCCTGAGAACCATCAGCGATGTCCAGGCGGTGACTCCTCTTCCTCCCAACTGCACCACTGCATCCCATACTCCGCCCTGTGCGATGGGAGAATCGACTGTCCTTATGAGGCTGATGAACCAGCGTCTTGTGGTACAATAGAGTGCGGGTAGGGGCAAAATTTGATATGCCATAGATGCAGTTTATAGAAAATCTGGTTTCATTTGTTGAGAATCAATTTTTTTACCGATGGTATGCCATAGATGCAGTTTATAGAAAATCTGGTTTCATTTGTTGAGAATCAAATTTTTTTACCGATCAATAGAATCGTCAAAAAAACTGATCAAAAACCCCAGTTCTTTGTTAAAGAGAAAACCAACCTTTTTCTAGCACCGAAATTTGTTTTGAGCTTGCTCATGAATCGCTGCTGTTCTTAGTGACAACGAATTTGGATGTGCTGATGGTACCCAGTGCATTCGGCTGTCATTTAAGTGCGACAGATACCCGGACTGCGAGGACCAGTCAGACGAGACCACATCACTCTGTGGGGACTACTTGACACAGTGCATTCCAGACATCCACTTCCAGTGTGAACAGTCTGCCATGTGTATTGATGTGAACCTCAAGTGCAACGGGATGCCAGATTGTTCTGACTCCTCAGACGAAGCCAATTGTTCAGGTAGACAGACAATTCCAGTTAGGTTATCATGTCAAAAAACTTTCAAATTCAATCGGCCCAGAACAAATGCCGTAACATAGAACTAAATGAGGACATTTTTTGAAAGTTTTGGCAACTAAAATTGAGGAGATTGGGAGACGGAACTACAGTTAACTTACTCATTGATTCCAAACATGCATGTTGACAGGTCTGAACTGGATGGATTGTGGGCTAGATATGTTCCAATGTCACTCGGGGGAGTGTATGTGGAACGAATACAAGTGTGATGACGTCATCGACTGCTCAGACGGGAGTGACGAGTCACAGGTATAGTCACTATTATGACCATTCTAGAAATCCTCTACCCTAGTATACATTTTACGCCCAATTCGATGCAAGCTATATACGTGACCTCAAAAGTCTTTTTAAGAATAGTGAAATTAGTGAGCACTCTTATATAGGTCTTGCTGATTTTTTTTGTTTTTTTTTTCAGGAAAAATTCTTAAAATTAGTGCACGCTCAATTTTGATTTTTCGCGGTTTGACTTGTGATTTCTTTTTAAGTTCAGTGCATTTCCATTGTTAAAAGGAAGGCAAGCTCCACTATCGAACAGCAAAAGTGTAAAGGTCACAAAAAACATGATCGACTTTTGATTTCGAAAATGGGAATTAATTATCAGTTTTCTCAGCGAAATAAAGTTTTGCGTATTGATACAGTTTTCTCAAATTGGGTTAATGTTAACAAAAAGTGTCCATCATAAATTGTTCTACAAATTCAAAAAGCCTTAAGGCCATTTAATTTTTTCTTCGAAATTCAAAAGTTGAAGGCTCTTGAAAAAACAATTCAGTTTTTTTTTCAGTTTCATTACTCTTCTCCAACTGTTAGTTGGCTATGCTTTTCCATTTTTTCTTGACTTTTAACAAACTCGTGGTGCTGAACTAACTTGTTTTAATCTTGATGAAGAACTACGTCTAATTTTTTTTTGATATTTTGTAAATTTTCGATATCTGGGACTTCCCTTTACCCGAAAACAATGCTACTTATGATGTAACTGTGAATGGATATATAAACTGTTCTTGCTTTTATTTTCTGTAGTGCCTGGTGAATGTGGAGTGTGACCCAGAACACTACTGGTTGTGCTCAACAACAACTGAAGACCAGTGCGTAGAGCTAGACAAGGTGACTATATGTTTATTAATGAGTGACGAACGCTGTGGGTTGACGACCAAAAGGATTTTCTTGATACAAATTCCTCCGCTGAGCACAAAAAATGCTGCAAAATAGGGTGATGTTAGTTTGTTGAGACAGCTGGACAAATCGCAATAACTGATGAATTAACTGAGTGTATGGGATAGGGTGGGTTCCCTTGTTTTAAATTTTCTTTTCAAATGACTGGCCAGGAAAAGGCATTCAATGCTAATTAGGCAGCAGCCGGCAGTTCCTATATTCATCTGTTTTTTCATCTCAAAAATATTGATCGTTTCTACTTCGAAGCGACAAGTGTTTTACTTCCGCAGCTGCTTGGCAATTATATTTTGCTATCATTTTTGAATTTTTTTCGCTAGCTGCAACTATCAGTTTCAATTGGAGAAAGTGTTTCAGCTGTGTGATGGGATCGAACACTGTTCGGATGGGTCGGACGAGGACTGCAACATGGGCATGTGCGACATGAACAACGGAGGCTGCGAACAAGTGTGCAACACCAGTCCCAGAGGAGTGCAGTGTGCATGTCGCCAGGGATACCACATGATGAACGGGAACAATCTAGACAATGCACAGATGTCTACATCGGGAATACCACATTCGGCTGCTGCTGCCAACAAAACGTGTATTGGTGAGTTCACTTACCGCGATTAGCTATGGGAGCAGTTCGGTTTTTTGTCATTTACTTGACTCAACCTTTTTCTGATTAACGTTATTGTCAATTCTCTTGTTTTTTAAGGATAGCGTTCAGAAATGTCTCAAAAAGGCTGCGCAAAAGTGTCTGTTGAGCTGGAGTTTTCAATTTTACTTGATAGTTTTTTGAAATCTTATAACATAAATCAATCAATCATATTTGACAGTTTTTCAAAAAAGGAAAATTAAAACAAAACTTCAAAACTCATTTACTACAATCGTTATATTGCCAAGAAAACGCCAGATGGAGCTTCAAAAGGTCGTTTTGCATATTATTAAGCTATTTCAGCTCATGGCAAATTTTCAGCTGTCTGGTGGCTATTTTTAAGTTTGTGTAGACCATAAAAAAGTGTGCTTAACTTTCAAATTTAAGCAGAAGAGGTTGTTGCTGTGGAAGTAGCACAGAAACCTCCGACATAAAATCATACGAAAATTTAAAAAACATAGTTTTTTTTATTTGCGACGTTTTTGTTGTGCTTCTAACATAACGAAAGCTTTTTTTATCACAATCAATTTATTCGCAAGAAAACGCCAGATAAAGCTTCAAAAGGTCATTTTTCTTGCTCTTTAGCCTTTGGAACTCTGAAACATTCATATTTTTGTATGGATAGCTCTGGTAAAAATTTAAGTAAATTTCCGTTTGATTACTATGGTGTCTGAGCGCTCAGTTCACAATTCATTGTGTGAGTAACTCCAAATTAGCATGAACTTGAACACTGAAAAGCTCTCTTCTTTCTATATATATATATATAGGTGAACGTCCAGGCTTACCATAGCTAATTTAAATTGAAATTAAGCTGTGAAAACTTAGTTTTACTCAATTAAATTTAGTTGTTGGAGTTTTCTAACGCCCTTTTGGAAGTCAAAAACTTCAAAAATTTAACAATTTTCTGCAAAAAAAAACAAAATTTTTTTGAAAATTTTTGAAATTGATTTTACAATTTTTTTTTCACTCATTTTTTCACAAAATCCGTTTTTCAATTGGCATATTTGATTATACTGTCGCACTGGCCTAGTTTCTCATATTTCGTTCAGATATTTTTACCACACCATGCAGAAAAAACGACACGAATTTGAAAAAAAAGGTTTTTCTTATGACTATGGTCGGAACATTCTGTGCGACTTGCACAGTAACCGGCTATCCTTGTTTTTGCTTGTCGTTGCAAAATGCCGCTTACGATTTTTCGAATTTTTGCTGGTCGGAAGTTATTTTTTTTAAAAGTCAGTATTTGTTTTCAGTCTCCGTGAGTTCTTTGGAATTTTTCCAACTGTCAATGGCTATCTTCTTTTATTATAAGGCTGATGCGGTTCAGAAAATTTTCAATATACTCAAAACAGTGCAAAATTTTTTAATAAATGAACCTGGTAAATAGTTTTTTTTTCATGTTTTTTTAGGTCTCCAGGCCTTTACGAAACTATTGAAACTATTGGATTTGCCCATGTGTATGCTTCCATGATTTGACGTCTGACCATTTTTCATAAAACATTTGAACTTTGGTATATATGTATTTCAGACGCAAATTTTCTTTACTTGACACTGAATGTTTTGAAGCAATTATCTGTCTATTTTGAAAAGTTTGTTCCTTGAATCTACCGCCATGCTTAAAAGTTCGAAAGTTTGAAATTTAATCGCATGCTGCATTTACTATCACAAAACGAAAATTTACTATCAAGGATAGTTTTACGTGGTTTAGACTAGCACGAAGTGATTTGGTGATTGACCAAATTTTGAGTCGTGATTGCTCCTGGGATCAGAATCTAACGTGAACGTGTTTTGAATTGAGCATGTGAATAAACTTGAGGTCATTCGGTGACTAGTTCGACCCGGGTCGAGGTCCGCGACCGAAAATCCAAAGTCTTTACACTGTTTTAAGTCGCAGACAAATTCTGGAAATATCGTTTCTCGGTCGCGGTGGTCGAACAAATTAGTCGTGTTTTGAGTCTGGTGTCGTATATTGCTATTTAGTTCAAACTGCAAGCTGTCAATCAACTGTCATTCGTGGTGCTTATTAATCTATTAGCAGGTGCTGTCCTTGGAACAGTCTGTCACCCTTGGATAATATTGATAACCACTCTTATTGTTAACTTTGCAAGATCAAGTTGATTATCTTTATTGGAATTAAATACTAAACAACAAGTCTTTTCAACATGGCGCAGACAGCAGTCTCAGGTGGGGGGGAAGAATCCACTGAGCATTACAGGATTTGGCCAGCAAAGTGTACTGAACCACCTATGATGTGGGAATTCTGGATCAACAGATTCCAATGGGGAATGGTGGCCAAGCATTCAATTAATCCGAACAATTATTATTACGCAGCGATTCTCACTGCCGCTCAAGTTACCGCTTTGCCCGAGGAAGCGGATGGGAAGAATCGACTGGAGTCAGAACAAGTTCTGATCTCAAATTTGTATTTGTGGTTGGGAGAAAAGGGCTAAGGCGAACTTCACAAAAGACGGCCACATCTGGATCTCTCAACGGTTTGTTACCCACGGATGATCGACGTACTGGAAACGGAAATCAAGAAGGAAAGGAATGAAACATACGAGACATATCAGCTTCTCTCTCGGAAACAATTTATTAATGAAAGTTTGGAGCAATTCCATTCCGTGCAATTTTGGAACATTGGAGGATCGAATACTAAGGGATGTATTCATTGTCAATATGAATAACCGTGAAGCACAAAAAGAACTGTGCAGGTCAACAAAAACACCGGAGGAGGTTTATCGGATAGCCCTCTCGTACGAGCGGGGTAATAAACATGCCACATCCTATGTCGCCACGGGATCAATGGGAACCCAAGGATCATCTTCAGGCGGTGGGATTCAAATTAAATCCGAACCAGTGGGAACGGTCCCTGGAGGATATCGCAATAATCGCGCACGAGGCGGAGGTTCATATCAAGGGCGAGGCTCGAACCGCGGTGGAAATTTGTTCCAAAACAATCGATGCTACAACTGCGATCAACCAAACTTTACGAGAGAACATTTGGATAGATGTCCGGCAAAGGGAGTTACGTGTAATTTTTGTCATAAAATAGGACATTACGAGCGTACCTCTAGAGGGAAGCGCGGAAATCAGCGAGGACGGGGAGCAGTTGGGATGATACGTGAGAATGTGGACGAGACACACCTGGATAATTCAGCGGACGAAGAAGCGTCCCAGCATGCAAGTTCCATTGGATGGGTAAACAAGAATCCAGTGGTGCACTCGTGGGAATCGAGCAGTTCAGACGGGGATTATATGGTAATGGCGATAAAACATAAACGATCCACGGAATTGAAAGTCGCCGGGGCACAGTTGCCGATTAAAATAAATGGAAAGTCTACTCGCGTTTGGATTGATAGCGGATCCCCAATTTCGATTTTCACCATTGGTGAACTGAGAAGAACTTTGGGAACTTCGCGGATAAAACTGGATACCCTCTCGGAGGAGGAGAATGCATTTCGGGATTATGGGAACAATCCACTGCAGATGATTGGAGCGATGGCTGTGACGTTACAATCCAATGGCTGGACGATAAACGCAAGAATAAAAGTCATAGGAGGAAATCGCCCATCGATAATTGGAAGAGACTTGATGCATCAGCTCGGACTACAGTTAGTGCAAAAATCACCACCAGGGGATCAGATAATGTCCATCGATGAAGTGGATCCGGAACCATCAGTGCCAGAGGGGGAGTTGGACTCATGGCAAACCTATTTCAGTAAGCAGTTTTCAAACCTTTTCAATAGGGTGGGAAAAATAAGAAACTATAAAGTACAAGCAGAACTTTTTGAAACCCTCATCCCAGTACAACCTTGCAAGAAAAAGTGGATACTGAAATCGATAAACTACTGAAACAAGGGAATACCGAAAAACTGACGGAATGCTCGGATAAATATTTTGTGTCCCCAATCGTCATAACGGTAAAGAAGGATGGGTCTGTAAAACTAGCACTCGACTCCTGAGAACTAAATAAACAAGTGCATAAGAATAAATATCAAATGCCGAACATCGAAGAGTTAATGGACACAGTAGGACAAATGATTAGCGGAAAAAAAATCCGGAGATATATTTTTCACAACAATGGATCTGACATATGCGTATAGTCAATTGCCACTATGTAATTTTTCTCTCCTCGGAGGTCGATCGACGGGATTGTATGGTTTGACTACGATGCCAGCTGAATTTCAGCGCGCAATGGAATGCATTCTCGCGGAATATCCCCAGGCGCATGCGTTCATCGACGATATTCTGGTTGTATCCAAGGGAACCGCGATCGACCATATAGCAACGGTAGAGAAAATTCTAAAAAAAACTGGATCAGGAAAATATGTCTCTAAAACTATCAAAATGCAAGTTCGCACAACGGGATTGCGAGTGGCTAGGTCACAAAATAACATCAACTGGAAAAAATCCCCTGGTACGGAAAACCGAACCGATCGAAGCATTAACGCCGCCGCGAACTTTGACTCAACTCAAGTCGTTCATGGGGTCAATACATAGTCTCCACAAGTATTTGCCAGCGGTAGCTGAATCATTTGCGCCGTTGCGACCATTACTAAGTAGAAGTAATGAAAACATTTGAACCTCTGAATGCCAAAATGCGTTTGAAAATCTAAAAAAACAAGTGGCCAAATTTGACGAATTGCAACATTTCGACATCCACAAGGATATTCGGATCGTTTGCGACGCAAGTCATAACGGGCTCGGTTCTGTGCTTGAACAATTAGGACCGGAGGGGTGGAGACCGATTTCGTTCGCTTCAAAATACCTTAACGAAGCGGAAAAGAAATATTCAACAAATGAATTGGAAATGTTGGCAGTCGTGTGGGGAGCTGAATATTTTTGGAATTATATATTGGGACGGAATTTTTTAATTGTGACCGATCATAAAGCGTTAATCTCTCTTTTGAACGATAATAAGAAGAAGAACAAGACGATGTTTAGCCGTTTGACGCGTTGGTTAGATCGGCTCATTCCCTTAGATTTTCAAATTGAACACAAACCAGGGGCAAAAATTGGGCTAGCAGATTATTTATCCCGTCATCCATGTAATGAAGCAACGCCAATTAGTATATACGATAATATGTTTACTGTGGCAAAATCAACTTAATTCGTGCCGCTCTCGGGTTCAATAAGAACAATGCATCCAGGGGATACAAATCATCCAATTCTAAATCCAAGGGACCGCATATCAAAGCGGAAAGTAATCAATCTATAAATAGATTGAAAGTTTGGTCACGAAATGAACCGGTAGAGGGCGGAAAGCCATGTGAGCGAGAATCGACCAATCAGAATCGAACACATGGCTCGGACCGACGGCTACGCAAAATACGCGGAAAATTAGTTGGTGCTATTATTCAATCAAAACAAAGTTGTTTAAATCTCCCGAATACATCTAAAAATTCAGTATCTCGAATCGAAATGGACAAAAAAATGAGGAAATGGCAACAATTTTTACAGCAGCACCCAAGTGTAAACAGTAGTAGTGATGAAATTGCAGAAATTTCCAAGAACACCGTATCCTTGGAAACTATTACTAAAGTAACCAAATCAGTTCGGACTAATACCACACTCTCGTTACCTTCGGCATTCAAAGCTGAAACAATACCACCCGTGGATCCAACTTCAGTATGTATGTCAATCATCCCTCGGAATTGCAAGATTGTTAATAAAATCACTTCATTACCGGATTTGATTAACCTAAAATTCATTGAGTCCAATTATGTTTCTGACCCCCAGTTGAGCGCAATTCGCGACCTTATAGTTACTCAGGATCCTAACATTCATGACAAAATTAATGCTATGAATCGTTATTATTCTCATTTGTTAACGATTTTTCGGTGAAGAAGAACGTAGTGTGGATGGATGAAAAACTTGTTATAACTATGAACTTACAAACTGCGATTAACAATAGAATTCATGCATATCATCACGGAAAATCCAACATGTTTGATGCGGCGAAAGATGTTTAGTACCCGTATATTTATCGATCAATGGCTTCAATAGCTGAGGACTGTCCTGAATGCACCGCCGCCAGTAAGAACTTAAAAACGATCTTAAGAAAAAATCAGCCGGGAAATATACCTGAACCGAAGGAACCAAATGAATCAGTTCAAGTGGATTTTTAGGGGCCCATTAACTACTTAAATGAATCCCGGAAGTATGTGTTAGTGGCGGTTGATCGGTTTTCTCGTTGGCCTTCGGCAATGGTCTGTGGAAATAATCGATCTGATAAAATACTATGGTTTTTGAAAACCTATATAACAAATCATGGAGTGCCAAGGAAAATTCGCGTGGATCAGGGTACGAGTTTTATGTCGATTGAAATTAAAGCATTCTATAATGGGGAGGGCATTGAGATAATAAAATCACCTGTTAATGATCACCGGGCAACTGGATGCGTGGAGCGCACCAGAGGTAGTCTTAAAAGTTCCATCCTGACGTTTGTCCAAGAAAAACAACCCGAATCCTTGGAAAAAATGATCGAAAGAGCCCTTGGCGCTCTCAGATTTTCGAAGAAAGCAACATTAAAAATCTCGCCATTCGAGGCGCATCATGGACGAGAAGCGAACACGGTCTTACGAAACCTTACAAAAAAACCATCTCTGCAAAATCTGGATTGGTCGCGGGTTATAAAAACGAAAAATGCTTGTTTAGATAACGCTGACCCAAATGCCAACGATATGCCACACCCTGCAGACACAAACTGGGCCGTACGATTGGACTTAGCGTATGACATAAGCAACAGGAGCCACGCACGCCGACTGACCCCTGATCAGTCAACCAACCAAGATGACGAACCGTCAAATTTTAAATCCGCGGGCCCCAGTGGACAACCAAGACCTTCTGGATTGTTATTCCAGCGAACTGGAAATTGCAACCGCAAAAGGTATAAACAGCTTCATTCGAAAATTAAATCAGAAAGCGCTCATACGTTGACTTTAAATAATGGGGTTGTGCTTAGGAAATCGGGGGTGGCCACAAAATCTAAGCCAGAGAAGATTAAAACAGGATCAAAATCGATTGTACTACCACCAACTCCGCGGGAAGTTAAAGAGCGAGCGACGAAGAGGATTGCTCCACAGAAGCAACAACGGGAGAAAAGCGGCCGCCGATTTGAGAACAGTGGTTCTGATTCGGAAGACACTGACGATCTGCCGATTATTTCGGTCAAACGAACGAAATAACCATCCGCGGAGGTTTCAACAGCGCAAGCAGATCCAACGGAAATGCAATAAAGGGACGCAGATAGTGGAAGCGACCAAGAAACCATTCCAGCACGCAGTGGCGATTTGAATAGAAATCCAAAGGATCCGGCTACATCTAATCCAGGGGACCAACCAACTCAAGCACCCAGCAAAAAGAAAGGACCGTCAAAGAAGGCCAGACTGGTATCTTCTAGCAGTCAGGACGATAGCCAGGACGACCCGGGATCTATAGCATCGAGAAAAAGCGTGAGAAAAAGAACGGCGGTGACCAAAATGGGAGGGGTAATGATTGATTTCATCAATCAGAGCGAAAAGGAGGGAAAGAAGTAGTCTAAAAGGAAAATTCAAACTGAACCATAAAACAAAACTATTAGCCTATTTAGCCCAGGGAGAGGGTCGGTCTTAATTGACTAAACTCAAACGCCATCACTGCTAAGTGAATTTTAGTTGATAAAAATCGTTGTCAGTAAAGTTGTAATTCATTCTCTAAATAAGCACTCAGTATTTTTCTTACCAGCAATTCTTAATCAACATGTTGTCATTAAATTTTCAGTCATCTAAAGTTTCATCTATTCAAGGGGAAGTGTCGTATAGTGTTATTTAGTTCAAATTGCAAGCTGTCAATCAACTCTCATTCGTGGTGCTTATTAATCTATTAGCAGGTGCTGTCCTTGGAACAGTCTGTCACCCTTGGATAATATTGATAACCACTCTTATTGTTAACTTTTCAAGATCAATTGATTATCTTTATTGGAATTAAATACTGCACAACAAGTCTTTTCAAATTTTGAGTCGTGATTGCTCCTGGGATCAGAATCTAACGCGAACGTGTTTTGAATTGAGCATGTGAATAAACTAGAGGTCATTCGGTGACTAGTTCGACCCGGGTCGAGGTCCGCGACCGAAAATTCAAAGTCTTTACACTGTTTTAAGTCGCAGAAAAATTCTGGAAATAGCGTTTCTCAGTCGCTGTGGTCGAACAAATTAGTCGTGTTTTGAGTGTCTGGAATAACCTTATCTTGGTCGCGGCGGTCTTAAGTTAGTCGCGGCGGTCGAAAAGGTTGTCGCGGCACGGTCAAAAATTTAGTCGCGGGGTCGAAAAATAGCTCCGCGGCTACTTCAACAGCTGTACGTTGCGTGAAAAACTGCAAGACCATGTTATGAATCTGTTCAGACGTTGACGAGTGTGCTAGTGGGAGTGAGGGGGACTACTGTAGCTACAAGTGTGTGAACAAAGAGGGCTCATTCACCTGCACATGTCCAGAGGGGTTCCAGCTGGCCCCCAATGGAAAACACTGTCGCATTAATGAGCCAGAGAAGACGGAGATGTTCGTCACCAGTGGCAGGCGACTGCTACGTGTGGAACAGGCAGGAGGTTCGACGCATCGTTTTGCTTCAACTCATCTTTACTATAATACAAACAAATTTATTGTGAGGGAAGTGGCTTTACAAGGTTGTTTATGGAGGCTGACATGTTTAAGATGAGTAATAAGTCCACTAGTCAGTTAGTTATAATCGGACAAGTTATGACTTTATATTTTTTTGTTATCGATAACAGTTGGTGTAAACGCCGGGGTTGTATGAGACCTGAGTCTCTCAGTCAAGAGTCTAGGGGTTCGAAGCTGAGCTTCGTTCAGATGAAGTCTTGTCCGCAGAGACTTTTGGCAAAAATTTCACCGACAATTTTTGACAAATTTTTCCGAAAACGCGTACATTTTTGTACGTATATTTTTAAAAGTTTTTAAAAAGAACATACATTTTAGGTACATGTTTTTTAACCACCAATTTGGTGGACTACCAGTTTTGCTGGTAAATGACTACTCCACGGGAATTTTTTTAAAGCCAACACTAATTTTAGACTAAATTAAGTTGAAAATGTGAGAAGCACTGAAATGAGTTTGTTTCCTTAATTTTTTTTCTTTAAACATTCCTAAATGGTTCTGGTAAATTCCGTTTTCATGTTTAAATAGTGCGCATTTTTCTCTATTTCAGTGTTCTACACTTATCTGCAAATGGACGCTGAGATTAAGAATGTGAAGCAAGTCTGGTCTCTTAAAGGGGAGGGGCAAGTGGAAGGGACTGGAGAGGAGAGCGAGCACCTCACTCTCTTCATATCCACCGCCATGGAACTTCATATCATCCAAGATCACACTATTCTGGTGAGTCGTACGAAACAAAAGGGAGTTCAGTCATTGGAATCATCCACCTACTTGAAACTCATCTTACCTTCGCACTCCCCAGAATAATTTAGTTAAGTGTATCATTCAGAGAGATTTTTGTGTGAATTGTCATCACCAGGTCTGCAATTGATCCGAACGTTTTAATTCATCATATTTGTTTGTCAGGCACAAAAAATATGCCTCAATTACAATGTTATGGAAACTGCTATTAAAATACTTTGAAGAGACTGAACCAAATAACCATGTGTAACAGTTTGAGATTATACTCTCGGTTTAACATTTGCCTCGGTTTAAAATTGTTCGGCCTATAAAGTTCACATATCGTTTGATTTTGATTCCAGCACACCATCAATGGAGTAGACGCGTACTCTGAATTAGCAGTGGATTGGATTAATGAGCACATCTACTACCTGGTCCAGGCCCCAACTCCAGACTACCGCAGTCTGAACATGATGAACCTGGACGGGTCGGGAGTGGTGAAGTTAGCCAGTCTTCACATGGCCACTTCGGTGGCGGTGGAGCCTCGTGCTGCTGTGCAGAAGGTGTTCTACAGTGTGAAAGGCAGAGAGGGAGTATATAGTGGGCAGATTGTGGCCTGTGATCTGTCCGGATCTAATAGGCGAATCGCTTTGAGTCAACATGTATTCATGGTAAACAACCTTCATTTTATTCAATTTACTATTAGTAGCTCAAATTTAGAACATCATGTCAGTGTTCAACTTCTTTAGGAGGCGTTTTCTCTAAAAAATCGATATCTTCATGTGTAATGTTTTTAGCGTTCTGTATCGCAATTTTCAAAGAATTAATTGACATTTTGTACCCTATCCTAATGCCTCGATTTTGCATCTAAAAGGTTAAATTTTAATGTTCAATGATGTAAGGTTTGCGCCTGAGAGACTTCTGAAAAATTTCGATATTTTTTCTACTTATTCGAAGCTGAGAATTCTCATTCAAAGCTCTCCTGAGCGTTAAAAATATTTCACTTTCTCGCAGGGGCGGATCTAAGATTTTCTGGAGGGGCGGATTTTCAAAAAAATTTCAAAATTTTTGTCGAACTTTTGTTATGTCGACCAAAATGATTTTCTGAGCTCTCCCAAATCACTATAAGGACCCCATTTTTACCAAATTTTTTGCGCCGCAGGCAGATTTTTGTAAAAACAGGCCAAAAAGGAGTTTTTAAGCACTTTTGGAAAAATTTGACCAAAAATCGCGTTTTTTCGGCACGCGCTCCCCCCTTAAAATTAGTATATTTTGGCGCCAAAAGCAACTTTAGAAAAATTTTAGGGTCAGTAAGCCAAAAATGGATATCTTAAAATAGTACAAAGGGGGGCCCTTTGGGGGTCGACAGAGGGTCGAATCCCTGAGGGGGGTGCCGCACCCCCACCCCTACATCCGCTGGTGCTTTCTCAATTATTTCGGTGTTGCAAGATTTTTTTTCCAAAAAGCGCCTATTCATTAACTCCAGGGATCCAACATGACACAAAACAGTTCAATTTTTAAGCCCATCAGTTTGCAAGTGGATCTGACCTCTAACAGACTTTACTGGATGGACTTGTCATCCAACTCCATCCATTACATCCACCTTGACGTCCAGTTGCCCGCCAAAATGTTCACACCTTTCCAATCTGTCAAGGTCAGTATCTCTGATTAACTTCAAGTTCAAGGTCAGTTTCACTTCAAGTTCCGTTATTTTTTTTATTTGGTCTTCCTCGCTCACTATAAAGAGTTCAGTTCAACTTTGCTGAAGTAGAAACAGTGCCAAAAAATTTGTTCATGAGTGCCGACAAATAAAAATACTTGAGTGCCAAATTTTTTTTTAAATGCCAGATAAGGTAATTACTAGAAGATAATGAATGCAGTGAAGACACTTAATGAAGTAGAGTTGATTTTTTTGCCTTTTTTCAGGAAATTGAACTCAATCTTTGTTCACGCCAAGACGTTTTGCGGTTTGACGTTTGATTTCTTTTTAAGTTCAATTCCAACTAATTCGCTTAAAAAAGCAAATAACGCAAAAAAGGAAAACTTAAACGGCGTCTATACCTTGGTTCAAAAAAAATGGCCGCGGCAATATTTTTGAAAAATGCGTATAGCTCGAAAGTAATCCAGTGGAAAATGTGTGGATGATGCTTAAATCCTTTGTTGAGAAGAAAAATCCGAAAACAAAAGACGAACTAATTCAGTATGTTCAAGAATCTCAACATGTAATTTTGCCAGCGGTAAGAAAAAATTTGATGGGTTCTATCCCGACGCGTTTGGGCCAGTGTCTTGAAAACGAAGGAAAATTTGTGGAGAAATGGACTGGGACTGAATAGGCAAGACAAAGACGCAACAGACTCATATTTTCTTATATTATTTTGTTTGCTCAATGCTTAGAAAAATCTATTATTTCAGCGGCCACTTTTTTTGAACCAAGGTATAGTTTGAAAAGTGAATTTTAAATTTACGATTTCCCAGTGGAATAGAAGTTTTGACATTTGACCCAGGTTTCTCAAATTGAGTTTATTCTATCACAATAGCGTCAATAATATATATTTTTTTAATTTTAAGGAGCAGTAACTCCATAATTGCTTGCTTTGAACTTTGAATGTTGAATTTGTTCCAAAAAACAAGTCAGTCATTTTTTTTTCAGCTTCTTTGCGTTCATTGACCTTTCCCAAATCGGTTGGTAGCTAGATGAAGTGTTTGTTTTTTTAAATTGCCCTGCAATAATTTAAGTGGTAATCGAAATTCTGAGTGCTAAGGAAACTTCTCCTCATTGAAATTTTTTGTACAAAAAATTGTTGACCTAATAGCTGCTCCATATTTATAGTTTTTGGCGAGCATAAATTGTTTTCCAGATGAAGTTGTGGTCATATGAGCTCACCAAAATTGATTAATGAAACTGTTTTCGGCATGCTAGGCAACGGTTTTTGTTGGTGATAATCTTATACATTAACTGAAAGAATCAATTTAGCTTCAGGTGTTAAGTTAGAGGGGCTATTGGGCGCAACGTTTTAGATCTGGTTTTTTCTTGAAATTTTTAAAATTGATTGTTTCAGACCTGGTAATGTTTTGTCCTCAGCATTTTGTGATCCTTCTTAGGACGAACTAAGAAAACACGAAGAAACTCTCTGTTCTTTAGTAAAATAGCCAAAACTTAGTTTGAGATTTTTGCAATTTCTGCGACAGGGAAACTGCACTTGAATTTGAATTGTTGCTTAAAAGCTTGCTTAAATTTCATTTTTTGCAAATCGATTCATTTCGAAGCATTTTGAAGTTTTCATGAGCTTCATTTTCTGATGTGTTTGCTATAGAAAAAAGAAATTGATCACAAAAAAAATCTAATTTTGAGAACAGATTCAAGGTGTGAAAAACTTGAATTAGTTGGCAGTTTCATCGATTGATAAGCAAAGCTTAAAAAACCTAAATTTTGAAAAGCGATTTTTGCTATCGAAATAATTTGAAGTTTTCAAACTATAGAGGCTTGATGGGTTAAATTTAGAAAATTAAAACTCCTTGAACTAATTCAAGCTACAAAACAAATCGAAGTTTTATGGATTGAAGATGCTGTTGGAAACACTAAATTGTTTTACGAAACTATTATTGCTTTCAGTTTACCTAAAAAGGTTACATGTTTTTGCCCAAAATTTTGTTTATATTGATGATTTTCATGATTTTATTGCAGATGTTTGTGACCGAGTCTTGTTTATATCGATGATTTTCTTGAATTTGGGTCTTTTAGTTTGAATTCAACTTTTGTTTTAAATCTTCAAACAGCATGCTACTAAGAGTAAGAAAAATCACTTTTTTAGACGATATAATTCATTTTTTAGACAATATAATTAGTTTTTTTTGGGTCCTTAGAAAATGCATTACAATCGATTTTATAAAGCTTCTATACAGATTTTATACCGCAAAAAAAAATCCATTTTCTAGACTATAAAATCAATTTTTTTTGGGTCCTTAGAAGATGCTTTACAATCGATTATAATCGATTTTATACAGATTCTATACAGATTCTATACCGATTCTATACCGCAAAAAAATAATTTTCTAGACTATAAAATTGATTTTTCTGAACTGTATAAAATTCCTATATTATCCATTTTAGTGTCTAATTGGGTTGCATACAATCGACTTTTAACTAGTAGAAAATCTGTAAAAAAATCGATTATAGTCGATTGCAATCTTATTTTTGCTAATGCGGGTGGGCATGCTAATTGGGGGCTATTCTCATGCGCGAAGGACCGAATGCGCGAAAAGACTTGTGAGCGAAGGACCGAAAACAAAATTAGCCGAAAGTCAATTTCTAAAAAGAAGCAATTGCCATTCAATTAAAAATAACTAAATGAAGCAGTATTTTGCTTCTTTCATGATGAAACCCTTGAAATATAAAATTTCTATTCGGCGGCGGTCAGTGACATTTTGAAAATTTTGCATATTTCTGCCGTTTTTATATTCGGCCAATATCAATACTCCAGTCCCTGGAGTTGTTTACTTTCTTTCTAAATTTTAGATTACTGAAATCTGATTGGTTGATTTGTATTTTCACGCATTCGGTCCTTCGCGCTTGAGGGATTCCACCATGCTAATCGACAATCTATTCCTATTAGGCCTGTCCCCTAGCATTATATAATTGATGCGAAAATAGTAAATTATTTACGTTTCAAGTTTACCCACATTTTTCGACCCTCCTGAATGTCCAGCGATCAAAATGCGCTCAACTCTCGAAATCGTTCATCGCCCTAGTTTTTCTGAACTTTAATTTAGTTTCCGCCTATTCACATCGACTAATTTGCATCTAATGTATTAGTACTGATTAAATGTATTAACCATCTAATCAGTACTAATAATTAAACATATACAACTGCATTTACCAGTTCTTACATAAAAGGTACATCAGCTTTCATTAATGCGTTCTAGATGCAAAGTAATTGATGATGATCGGCATAAACAAAAAAGTCATTAGGGTTGTGGTCAGGCGCGGATCTAGAATTATCTCGTGGTGGGTCGAATTTTTGAGACAAAAATGAAAGTTTTGTTGACCTTTTCTGTATTGTACAGTACCTGATCGAGCCGATGAGTCTGCAAGTGTTCGAGGACTCTGTGTATTGGACGGATCTCAAACTGGATTCGCTGTTCTCCTGCGACAAAACCAGGTGTCTTCTCCCCCTCTCATACATCCCCGCTGTCCTCTCTCGCCCCAAAGCACTCTCCGTCAATCACCCAAAACTGCACAAAAAAGGTACAAACATTATGTTTTAAGTAATTCGGGTTCACAAGTGCGTCAGGCGCAGTTTGCAAGTGAGACTAGAGAAATAGGCTCCGCAGACGCCTATTTGATATGCATGCAAATTTGCAAAAAAAAAGTTTAGAATTGTTGTTCCGAGCATTGAAAAAGCGGAGGAACTTTGTAATCGGGTGTGTTTTTGTTTTGTTTTTCTTTTTTCCACGCGCAATCAGGTACCACAAAGAATTATGGGATTGAGTGGAGTGATATATTGAACCCCTTCCAGCCCTGATTTGAACGACATTGTCAACTATTTTTTCCATTCGAATTTTATGCATTAATTCATGTAGTGGGTTTTACTGCGGCAACATTTTATCATTCAAACCTCTTGAAATCCGCTGATACTCGGTAGTGCATTTGGTAGGGGTTTTGCTAGGGACGCCTTTGGCGCTAACACTTATTAAAACTGAGAGAGATTACGCGCTGAAAACGCAAGAATCTTGAAATAGCCTTCCAAAAACTGCTCAAAATTGGTACTCTAGAACATGTTGTCAAAAATTGCATGAATGCGTAAATTTTTGGTGTATTAGGACTTTTATAGTGTTCAAGGAGAGCTAGAAAAGTTCAGACTTCTAAAGCAGCTTAATGAGGGTTCTTAACCGAATGAGCATCTCTTGCTATGAACTAATTTTAGAAGACAGGTCGGATGAAGTTAACGTTTTACCCCCTAAACAGACTAAGATAAGCTCTTCCATCTGAGTAATTGATTTGGAGCAAAGTTACTTTAGCTGCTGCAGGTAAAATAGCATAGTTTCTGATTGGCCGAAAGTTTGAACTATGAATACCTACTTAAGATCCTCCTCTTATAGCGTTTAAGCTTGAAGGTTGTTCCATCAAGCCATTTGAACATGTTCTAGAAAACTCTGTGTGTTCGGGGTTGCCTGGCGGGGACTGTGAGTACCAATGTGCTCCTCACTATAGTCACTTCTCGGAAAAACTGGAGCCAATGTGCATGTGTAATATTTTCTCAACCAGGACAGGATCTACTTCTTGCAAACTAGGTTAGCTATGAGACTGGACTGTTCCTTTTTTGCTCATTTTTCATAATTACTTCAAAGTTGAATTTGCAATAGGATACTCGCAGTTTTCTTTGGAGATTTTTTGCGGAATCGAGATAAAGATTAACATGAGCGGTGCAGTGCTTCTAAGCGTGTCTGATTTTGAGGAATTTTATGCTTTCTTTGTCAATTCAATGTCTATGTCGAAATTTTCTAATATAAATTACATCTTTACAATATTTGGACCGCGCAAAAATATACTCAGCCTGGGTTCGAACCTGCGATCCATCTGAAGCTATCGTTTTGGTTGACCAAGTAGCCACTGACTGCTGAGCAACCAAATCCAAAGTTGGACAGATTTTACTGGACAGCTTCTTTCTACACGTGCGAACTCTTCCATCCATACGTCACACTATCAAGACGCCAAATGGCAACTCTAATCATATAAATAGAGTGAAATAAATAGAGTGCAATGACTTTTAAAATTAGAACAATGGATCATGGAGACTTCACAATAACATATTGACTTTGATTGGCGTAAAAAATGGTACCACCACTCAAGCATAAAAGCATGATTAAATACGAGTAATTAGCCGCTTTTGTAAACCCAAAACTATGTCATATGAGTTTTCTACTAACGGGATGCATTTGAAGCTGCCAATCGCCTACCAGTATACAGGAAAAGTTTAAAATTGGCGTCTTCAATGACTCCAGTTGTTTTAAAGAGTGGTTTCAATTTTTAAAGGTCGCAGAGTTGGTTATTTTATGGAAGTTCGAAGAAAACTGTTCAATTACCTTCAAAAACCATAAAAAGCATGGTTTTTTCTTCCCCAGCCATCACCATTAACTTTTTTTGCAAACACCTACAAGTCAATGTATTACCATGAATCAACTGACTACAAAGATGTTGCACAAATCTATATTTTTCAATTAAAAAACAATCCTTGAATTTACAGATAAGATGCAAGAGAACGTTCGTTAAGGGTCGGCTAGGTTACTAGCTGCTTGGCATCAGCGAAGACCGGTCCAATTATTCTATCATCTTTTTTTCTCAGGAGAGCTATCGGGCTAGCTATTTAGCACCACTCTATATTACAACAAATTATGTCCTTGGAATGAGCCCCATATGCCCCAACTTCTGCCCAGGCACTATCTCGATACAAATTTTGTGTTTAACAATCCAACTAGTGGAAAATCCAGCTAGATGACCATGCGACAATTTTTTCGCACGCTGTCGTTAGTCGGAGTAAATTTCATATAGGAGTTCCCCTATCTCCAGAGACGCGCTTAACCTACTGAAATTCCATGAGAAAAAAAAATGAATAGCAACTAGAAGCAGAAAAAACTTTCGACCAGATTTGAAACTATCGATTTGTGCAGTTTTTGAGCAGTTCTTGATGACATAAAAAAAATAATAATAATTCACAATTAATTAAATTACAAAGTTTTTGAAAATTTTTCGCAGAAATTTGCTTTTTTTTTGTTTAGAAAACTTGGTGTTGCCGAGGAAAAAAGGCTACTAAATTTAATTTTTCTGCTGGAGTAAAGTTAAAAATTTCATCGGTCAAATAAATGTTCATTGTTCTGACTTTCGATGAAAGCGCAGAATGTTTATGCTTCGTGTGGTTATTTTTTATTCAGCCATTTTTCGGCTTGTTAACTAAGCGTTTTAGGCGGATTTTTTTAAAAATCATCTGAAAGATATTACTATTTTTAGCTCAAATTTAAGATATTTCATCTGTGATCAATTTTTTGTTAAAAAAGGCGCTTGAAAATAGCAATTGTCTTGAATGCTCCGATTGTTCCTTAATCCATATCGAATACCTTTTGGGATAAGAAAATATTGAAAAATATAAATTTTGGACAATATCAAAGATCAAATGGGAAATTTGATACGACCGATCAGCTAGCCTCACAGTTCAGTTTGAGCGACTTTGCTGTTCGGGATAATTGGCCAGGCATACGAAATTCGCGTTACCCTTTCATGATTATGGATAAAATCTACAAAGAGTGGATGAAATAGTCCAGAGCATCCCAAAACTCCCAAACTCCCAAACTCCCAAAACCTTGCAAAAACGACTCGAGGTAAAAATAACTTTTTGATTTTGATTTAAGGCAGTCAATATCTTCAATGGGGCATAAATTTTTTATGTTAAAAACTATTATTTCGATCGCCACAAATTGACTGAATAAAAAAAACCACACTGAGTATAAATATTCCGTTTTCTTCAAAAGTTGTAAAAAATCATTCCTTCCAAATTGAATTGAGGCCAGTAATTCAATCTCATTATTGCAATACAAGACGCTACAGACACCCTTAGTATTTTGCTTAGCGTGCGCGTGTATGGGATAAAATTAAGAAAAAATGAAGAAAAAAAATCTTTTTTTTTCTCAATTATTTTATCAATAATTATGCTGAAACAAACTTTTCAATTCGGTTTAAGTGCAGTCGGAACTTTCAGGTCTTTACTCTGATATTCGAGCAGTCTTGTTTTGCATTTATAAGGCGGCTTTCTCGCTCGCTGTACTCACTCAAAATTAGACAAGAAACCCGCGTTGAGTTCACATTTGAAAATTAGAGATAAAAAGTGAATAAAACAGGTCTCGCAATTAGATGTTCATTGCCACAATAGCAAACTTTTTTTGATAGATTATTGCTAATTTGGCTAAAATTCAGCGAAGAAACGGTGATAAAAAACCTATCAAAACAAGCAAAAAATAAGAACTACAACAAGGGTTCGTTCAATGACGCAACTATCAGCTTAGTGAACAGGTATGCTACCTCTGTGTTACGATGCTTTAGCTAATTTCAAGTTATAGGGTTTATGAACTCACAGTCTCATTCGAAAGTCACCAAAATGAGTTAAAATTTTTTAAGTTTTAGCGCTAACTTTCTACGGAATCATTACTGAAATAGCTCTAAAATATCGCAGGCTTAGCTTTGCAAAAAACTCTGAATTATACATGAATCAGCGCTGGAAAATAGCAATCACTGGGATGCTACAGAAAAAGCGATGAATAGTGGTGGGAATTCAACTCGGGAACCGAAAACTTTATATTGTTTTATCTCAATATTGAAAAACTTTGGAAGTTTTTAATTGCTCTTCAAATCACTGCTAAAATGATAATATGATTTATCATTCGGACTGCTCCGAATGCTATTCGTGGTACTCAGTTGTCGGTACAATAAAGAACCACAATATAGGAGCCTCAATCTTCTCTCCGCCCTTCTTTATGATACTGATGTGGTATTCATTGGTGCCTTCTTTCAGTGATAAAATGAACATTCCTACTAGACTTTTTGACAGACCTAGTCTTTAATATCTCTTCGCTGCGATAAAAGGTGAAAGGAAACATTTCTAGCTCCGCGCCAATACACATCAGCAATCATTGCAATGGTGACCGTCCATGACATCAAATCTGAAATAGTTAATCTCTCTGTTATACACCCAAGCACCTTCGATGTCTAACAAGAGCAGAAAAAAAAAGCTTCTGAAAACGTCTACCCCAAAGTTTTGCGCCACTTTTTACAAAGGGCGAAACGGAGATAATTAGAGGAAGGGAAAAAAAGATCACCTCTGGGGAAAAGCTTTTAATCTCTTTTCGAGAGCTTTTAACAAGATCAGATGGCATCGCGTTCTCCTGTAAGCATCATGCAGCACCATAATTTATACATCTGCTGTGCATATGCTGTGATACTATCACTCAAATCTACCTGAAAAACACAATGATTTACTTTTTAAACCTCCATGACGAAGGTTTGCCCAGATAAAGATTGTGGCAGTTCATCTTCACTTTTCTCCCTTGTATGTTTAGGGTCCCCCGACAATGTAGATGACCATAAATTCTCCCAATCTGTATTATTTTTTTTGGATTTCTTCTTGCTTTATATTTGATGTGAATATTTTGCAACTATCTGTGATGATTTTTCTTTGTGGTGTTCTATGGTTCATTTTTAAACCAGGTTTTCATCTCGATTTTTGAAAAATCTGGCAGAATCTGGATATCTTTTGCTTTCTTTTCAGCCTTAATATACTGTAATATGGTCTGGGAATTCTATTTAAAAAATAAGTTCTCTCTTCTTTTGAGTTAAGTTAACATTGGCAGTTAACTCAGGTTGGCATTGTTTTCAGATTTCAAAGGGTTCGCGTTGTTCAACGCCTGGCAGTTCTATGTCAAGAACAAAACAGACGATATAGAGTTCGGTCTGGAAACTGTGTGGCATTCGCAGACTGTGCAAAAGGCCTTCTTTGCTCCACCTAATAAAATCTGGATAGTCCAAGACAAGGTGAGTATCTTAAATTCTCTCTCAAAAATATAATTTGCTTTTCAAAAAAGAAATAGTGTGCAATGATTTTCAATGGTGAGAAAATATAGGTTGTAAATGTAGTTTTTTATGAACGTGGTCGCAACATTCTGTGCTATTTGCACAGCAACCGGCTATCCTTGTTTAATTTTTTATTGAGTGCGAAATTGAGAAAAATTCCATTTCTCCCATGGTAGTTTTGGATCTTGCAGGGCGTTTTTCTAAAATGCGTTTATCACAACGGCGTCTTTCATTTTGCTGGCCAATTATTTAACGTGCTTCCCAATAATGGCAGTAAAACATAGCCAATACATGGTAGGGCTACAAATCGTAACAGGCGACAAGTGTTAACAGGCTACAATTCGGAACAAGCGACATTTCGTAACAAGGTATTGGCAAGTAGGATACGCTTGCTCCGCTGCGCTTACATTCAATACAAGAAGAATACTGCGCGTGAATCAAAGTTCCCCACTAAATCTACTGTTAAGAACTGTCACTTTTTACGAATTGTCGCCTTTTACGAATTGTCACCTGTTACGAATGTCGCCTGTTACGAAGTGGCGCCTGTTAAGAATTGTCGCCTTTTACGAATTGTCGCCTTTTACGAAGTGTCGCCTTTTACGAATTGTCGCCTTTTACGAAGTGTCGCCTTTTACGAATTGTTGCATGTTACAAATTGTCGCCTGTTACGAACTGTCGCCTCACGCCAGTACGTACCGAACTTAGAGACCATGACTTTGCTTCCGAATATTCCGATAATCTAATCTTCCCGAAGCTTGATGAATCAGAATGAATCTGATTTTTAACGTCTTAATCTATATTTCTCGAAGAAAACATATCTACAGCCGAAGTTTCATTCAGATTCGGCTCAAACTCAGAAGTCAAGTACGTAATAATCGGAATTTGGAATTTAAGATTTTAACCTGCGACACCATTTGTTCTATAACGCTTAAGCAAAGAACTTATCGACTCAGATATCATCCCATTTTGAATCGTGTTGAGCTAAATGTTGTGACCAATTACACGACTAGATGCGAAATGGTCATTTTCTACTTTAGCTAGCATGTTAAGGAGAAAACTCTGAAAATACCGTGTAATTTTTATAATTTTTAAAATCAAAAACTACTTCATACATGCTAAAGGGCAGAAAAAAAAATTCATGGTTTTTCCCTGACACCAGCAGTTTTGTCATTACGAGGCCAAACTGTGCACTGGATAGGAGCACAATTTTGTGTCTGTATGTTCCTGGATTCCAGAGACAAGTCTTTAAACATGTGAAAATTTTGTCGGAACGATCAAAGGAAAGTAAAGAACAAAAGAAGAACAAAAGGAGCGTCCTTGTTGCGGAATCCGCTTACAATGCACAAATTGCACAGCTTGGCCTTGTAATAGTTCGACTTCGCACTAGAATTCAGCTTGTACATTTTTGTGCACTTGCAAAAGCTAGTGTACTGCAACCGACAACTAAGCTATTTTATAACGGAAGAAAAAATTCTTGTTCACAGAATAATCAGCACGTTTTGTCAATTGTACTCATTGCCTCTGGTTGTTTTTTGTTCGGGCTTTACAAGCAAATTTGGGATTTTTGATACCATTCAAAAGGTATTGATGTCCTGAGCTCGAATTTAAAAAACAAAATATTTCACTTCCGTGATCATTTTTTGTATAGTTATGGGGGTTTTAAAGTTTACGGGGACAATTAACATGCGATGTATTTCATAATATTAATGTGTGAGCGGATGTTTAATCCGTGTTAGAAATAGTTTCAAAACGAATTGAGGCATGCTATTTGGTATATTTAGTATTTTGCTGTATGCGAAATATATCATTTTATACGTAACGTGGCGTGTGGTTGGATGATTTTCAAAAATAAACTTTGGTATAAAGCATAGAGCATATACATAGCCTTTTCTTGAAATTAGAATTTGTCCAATAAGTTTTTAGCTAAGGTATAAGCTTAATAGTAAACTTAGGGTTTTGTTTTAGTCCTAACTTTGTTTTCGAACGGTTATGAAACTGTGAAAGATCAAAAGGATTGTCACTTATAAAATGAGGATTTTTTCTTCTTGTTGTGATGATTTTTTTCTTTTTTTTTCAGAAAAATTTGTTCACGCTCCAATTTGATATTTTGCGGTTCGACTTTGCATTTCTTTTTAAGTGCAGTTCATCTGCGTTGCTTATAGAAAGGCAAACTCCACAGTGGAAAAGCTAAAGTTTAATTGTCGCAAAAAAAACTTGAACGACTTCTAGTTTTTAAAGTGGTATTTGCTTTTTCACCAGCTTTCGATCCACTTTTTTCTCTATGTTACCTTAGAAAAAGCACCAAGCAAGAAAAAATTTTAATATTCAAAGAGCTATGAAGTGAGACATTTTAATTTTTGAAATTCGAAATTTTTTAAAGCGTTCTAACATTTTGAAAACACGTTTTTTTTGGTTTCTTGTTATTTTATTTTTTCCAATCATCTGCTGGCTTTGTGTAAAGTATTATTAATGTACTTTAAACGGCAAATGGAGAATGCTTTCTCTTAATAAGATAAGTGTAAATTTTGATTTATGTTTGTAAAAAATCACAACCGAAAAAATTGTTTTAACTAACAATATCTTTCAAAATCTATTTTTACTTCTACAGAAATGTTTTTGATGTCAATTGTATAGCAACAAAATGGCAGACTGGTATTCAATTTTTCCACCTAAATAAGCGGATCGAATTTGAAAATTTAGATTAAAATAATGCAAAAACCTTTCTTTGCAGGGCTCTGCCTCCGAGGTCCAGTTGTTCAGTCTTAGTTCCATGCTTGTTGAGCAGAGGGCACTGGTCTCCAGTTTGGGTCACCTTGTGACCTTCAACCCAGTCAGACAGCAGCTTCTCTACGTCGATAAAATATCCAATGAGCTCAAGGTGCAAATTTTTGAGCTCATGTCGAGTTAAATGCCATTTTAGAGTTATTTTTGCTTAAAACGGTCCAAAATTTTTTCAACTTTATAGTTTTCGTTGCTTATTTTGTCAAAATATACTCTTAAGTTTTGAAGAAGAAAAAACGTTTGAAAGTTTCACAGCTCAGTCAAAATCCCCCACTGTAAAGTCTATTTATTCTTGACTTTTATTTGCGTTTTCCGATGAACAATTGTGCATTATTGATGGCGTGGTGGTTTAAACTTTAGCCCATGTTCCAATTTTTTCAAACTGGTATAGTGGGCAACATACAGTTTTTGAGAACACTCATATTTTTAATGTTTAGATAATGGAGTTTTCAAGCAGTAGCGATGTTCGCAGAGCCTCACTTTTCAAATTTACAGACTCCGAAGACTTCATTCAGATGAGCTCATTGACTCTTGATTCGCATCGCAATATTCTCTTCTGGTACAACAGTCACCAAAACAAGTTCCATATGCTCAAGTTATCTCAGAATGATGTAATGAAAAGTAATGGCGATGTAATAGTTCCGACGAGTAGCGTGAACATGGTGACGAAGCCTTCAGATGTAGAAGTTGACGGAGTGAACGGGAATGTGTTTGTCGATTTTGTTAAAGATGTAAGTCTTGTATTCCGCTGCTTTCTGAATTTTCGTTGGTTCCTGTAAACGCGATAATTAACTCGATGACGATTAATCCGACCCTATTCAACTCATGATTCGACCTTGTTTGACACATGATTCGACCCTTGATTCGACTATATTCGACCCATTGTTCGACTCTCTCGACGCTAATCGACTCTCTCGACCATGTTTGACTCACTAATCGACCCAGTTGGATCCATAATTTGAAGATTTTGTTCGACTATAGCATTCTATAGACCGTTTTAATTTGACGGAAAAAAAATTGGAAATTTTCGCGTGTTACTCTCGCAGTTGGAAAAATTTTGATTACAACTGTAATGATGTCTCTCTATCTTATCTTTTTGTAAGAATTTAGAAAAAAACCGGTGATCTGAAAAAGCAGAGTTACAATTTAACAAGGCTGCTCGTATCAGGGCGAAGCCCTGAATGTTCCGACTGCCTTTTAAGACTTATGCCTTTTAAGCTAACATAAAAAAATCAAATGTAAAAAATAAATTAAAAAAAAAATCTAAATTTTGAAATTTTTTCTATAAAAATCATCCCCCAACACGCCATATAAAGTACAAAAGAATAGGTTTCGCTCCTCGTAACAAATCAATTATGGCAAATAAGCTTCTTTCAACCAGTTTGGAACGATTTCTAAGACTGATTAAATCTCCGCTTACGCATTGTGAGTTATATCCTTTTGGTTATAACTCATATAGTAATTTCAGATAGCGTACACCGTCTGCTCGTCACGCTGTCTTATGTTCGGCCGGATAGATTCGTGGAATTTCTTGGTCTAATACCGATCTTAATCTTACTCTTATATCTCCTAGTCTCAATAGATCTAGTGTACACCGGTTTGCGCGAGTTAGTTCCAGAATGAGAACAACTGTATTCTAAGTTTAATTCAAATTGTTCTGGTGTTGAAACTACAAGTAGTTTCAACACTTACAAATAAGTGGGTTGTTAGTTTGGTGGAGTATGATTGGTTAGTGTTTAATATTTTATAGAGATAAAATATCATAATAATAACCAATGATAAATACTAGTTTAGATCTGGTTCCAATTGATAGCGAGAAATATAGCGCGTTAATTGCCCCAAATTGGCCAAAATAGCTATTTTCAAACCCCCATAACTTTACGAAAAATGATCACAGGTGAAATATCTTTTCAAATTTAAGCTCAGGACAACATTACCTTTTAAATGATATAAAATAAGTTCCGTCAAAAATGGCTAATTAAAAAGTCGAGTTTTGTCTGAAGAAAAAAAAACCCACCCCGAGCACAAATATTCCGTTACTTTCGTATCGAAAGTCGGAACAAAACACATATTTGAAAAAAAATTCGCAATTTCGTGATTCTTACCTTTTAATTCCCTTCGTTGGGTTCTTCAAGGCAACTTTTCAACTTATGTGTGTGTTTTGGTCGAATTCTTGGCATGTGTTTCAAACCAGAAGAACAACATTTTATTTTGTATCTCAAACATTGTGTTCTCGATTTTTTTTCTCAAACTACCTCGACGCAAATAATAGCTCGTAACCGGTCAGTATTTTGACAACCACGTATTTGGAGGTGGAGCAATAAACAGAATGGTCTAAGAGCAGAATGGGTCCGAGAGCAGAAAAACAGAAAACTTTTAACTTTACTTGATTTATACGGGCTAGTTGATGAAAAAAAAATAGGAAAAAATTATGCATGAATTGAATAACGACATTAATTTTTTTCTTGAATTCAGGGAAAAAACTCGATTAAATTTCTCAAATTATGCATAAATTACTAGTATTTTGGTTAATAATGACTAATCTTATACTTAAATTGCCGATTAGCTAATAAAAGTTAAAGTTTCTCCGGCTTTTCTGCTCTTGGACTCATTCTGCTCTTAGACCATTCTGTTTTTTGACTGGCAACCTACATATTCATACTCTTCAACAAGCAGACAAATACTATATCAACCAATCAGATTTGAGATGAGAAAGCGAGCTAACGAAATAATTAATAATTATGTTTCTAAATTTCTTCCTTGTCTTGATTCTGACTGGTTAATATAGTATTTGTCTGCTTACTGCCGAGGATGTTTACGCGATTGTCTAAACACTGCTACTTAACCGAATAGCTGTTTCTTATCGTTGGAATCCCTCATACGCAAAGGACCGAATGCGCGAAAAAAAAATCAGGCAATCAGTTCGAAATAAAATTTGGAAAGAAATTAAACATTTCCTGGGGCTTAGTATTGATATTGACCGAATATAAAAACGGCAGAAATATGCAAAATTTTCAAATTGTCACTGACCGCCGCCGAATAAAAACAAACTTTATATTCCAAGGGTTTCATCATAAAAGAAGCAAAATACTACTTAGTTTAATTCATTTTAACTGACTGGCAGTTTCTTCTTTTTAAAAATTGACTTTCGGCTAATTTTGTTGTCGTTCCTTTGCTCACGCGTTTTTTTTGCCCCTTCGGTCTTTCGCGCATGAGAATAGCCCCCTTGCTTATCTACTTCATATAATGGAGCTGTACAACAGTGCCGAAAATGAAAAAAAAAGGTTCAACAATGCCGAACGTTGATAATTTTCAGCCTTGTTGGATAATAAATTTGTTTTCGTTACTGCTGTACTTAGTCACTGTTGTATTGCCCGTAAGCGGTTGATCAACGGTGCCGAAGTACAAAAGTGCTGAAAATAAAATTTTTGTTAAACAGTGCCGCCGAAAATCATCAATTTTCGTCACTCTCGAACACTTTTTCATTTTCGGCACTGTTGTACATCGGCACTGTTGAACGCCCCCATAAAACTCAGGCAATTTTTTGTTGCTGCATGTTGAATGATTGTTGATGCATTTTACTTGACTGTTAATGCAGTAATCAAGGCTTGTTTAATTTTAAACGAAGCTTTAAAAAAAACGCAAGGAAATGCGATAGACGTTTGAAATATGAGTGTTGAGGTTAAAAGTCTTAGTATATGCTAGTTAAATTAAAATTAGTTGGCTGAAAAGTACAATCAGCAATGTTTAATTTAAACGCAGACTGCCCGGTTTGACCTTCATACACCGAAAATGCTTATCTTACAATTCCATACATCAAGTGTGTAGAAAAATGCTTGTCATACAATTTTCATTCATTTTCAAAAAATGTTTGAAAAAAGATATAAACTAATTTCTGTGGCTGTTTGATTCTAGTAAAACAGTCTGGTGATAAAAAAAACCGATGTTCTCGTTTTTTGAAAAAAATGCTTATCATACAATTCCCATATTTTGAAATTGTATGACTCGCTCTTTTTTTTCAACCGCATCTGATTTCAATCTGATTTGTTAGTTTTATAGTTCAAAGAAATATAATCTGAGATTTTGATTTCGGCAAGTATGTCTTGTTTTAAATTCTTGTGGTATCTACCAACGATTATGTAGCTCTTTAATGATTTAAAACAAATATTTGAAATTGAAAAATGCTCAACTAAATTTTCACAAAATTAGTTTGCGTTGTTTGCTAAATGGCTTCGCCCTTCTCTGCCATTCTCCGCCAATAAAGTTGAAACAAGACTGATCGTATCAGGGCGAAGCCCTGAATGTTCCGACTGCCTTTTAAGACTTATGCCTTTTAAGCTAACATAAAAAAATCAAATGTAAAAAATAAATTTAAAAAAATCTAAATTTTGAAATTTTTCTACAAAAATCATCCCCCAACACGCCATATAAAGTACAAAAGAATAGGTTTCGCTCCACGTAACAAATCAATTATGGCAAATAAGCTTCTTTCAACCAATTTGGAACGATTTCTAAGACGGATTGAATCTCCGCTTACGCATTGTGAGTTATATCCTTTTAGTTATAACTCATATAGTAATTTCAGATAGTTTACACCGTCTGCTCGTCATGCTGTCTTATTTTCGGCAGGATAGATTCGTGCAATTTCTTGGTCTAATACCGATCTTAATCTTACTCTTATATCTCCTAGTCTCAATAGATCTAGTGTACACCGATTTGCGCGAGTTAGTTCCAGAATGAGAACAACTGTATTCTAAGTTTAATTCAAATTGTTCTGGTGTTGAAACTACAATTAGTTTCAACACTTACAAATAAGTGGGTTGTTAGTTTGGTGGAGTATGATTGGTTAGTATTTAGTATTTTATAGAGATTAAATATCATAATAATAACCAATGATAAATACTAGTTTAGATCTGGTTCCAATTGATAGCGCTAAAAATAGCGCGTTAATTGCCGCAAATTGGCCAAAATAGCAATTTTCAAACCCCCATAACTTTACAAAAAATGATCACAGAAGAAATATCTTTTCAAATTTAAGCTCAGGACAACAATACCTTTTAAATGATATAAAAAAATTCCGTCAAAATTGGCTAATTAAAAAGTCGAGTTTTGTCTGAAGAAAAAAAAACCGCACCCCGAGCACAAATTTTCCGTTACTTTCGTATCGAAAGTCGGAACAAAACACATATTTGAAAAAAATTTCGCAATTTCGTGATTCTTACTTTTTAATTCCTTTCGTTGGGTTCTTCAAGGAAACTTTTCATCTTATGTTGAAAAAATTTTTAAGCGTGTGTTTTGGTCGAATTCTTGGCATGTGTTTCAAACCAGATGAACAACATTTTTATTTTGTATCTCAAACATTGTGTTCTCGATTTTTTCTCAAACTTCCTCGACGCAAAGAATAGCTCGTAACCTGTCAGTATTTTGACAACCACGTGTTTGGAGGTGGAGCAATAAGCAGAATGGTCTAAGAGCAGAATGGGTCCGAGAGCAGAAAAACAGAAAATTTTTAACTTTACTTGATTTATACGGGCTAGTTGATGAAAAAAAATATGAAAAAATTATGCATGAATTGAATAACGACATTAATTTTTTTCTTGAATTTAGGGAAAAAACTCGATTAAATTTCTCAAATTATGCATAAATTACTAGTATTTTGGTTAATAATGACTATTCTTATTTTTAACTTGCCAATTAGCTAATAAAAGTTAAAGTTTCTCCGGCTTTTCTG